CATATATATATATATATATATATATATATATATATACCTGCGCCTGCATGGACGCGGGAAGACGTGCGGCGCAATGGTATCACACCGGCGTTCCCATCTTTTTCTTCTTTTTCATTGCCGCTAACGCCAGTATGTTCCCTCCTTTTGGTTGTGTGGCTTCACCCTCTCGTACCTTGCCCTTGCCGCCCCCACCGCAGCTCCATATTTCTTGTTGTATGTTTTTGTACCCGCCCCCCTCTCTTTTTTTTTTTGTGGTTCGCACGCTCCTTTTCCTCCTCTTCTTCCTTCTCCGTCGTCGTCTTCGCACCGCCGCAAGCTGCGCCGCTACACAATGTTGACGTACTCATGCACCCGGTGCATCATGCGCTGCACGATGCAGTCGGAAATCCACTGCAGGTTGTTCACCTCCAGCTCTCGCAGCTTCACCCAAGCGTAAAAGACGCCGTACTGAAACTGCCGTGTCATGGCATCCCTGTAAAACACGACGGACCGCTCTACAAAGCGCTTCTCAACGGACTGCCGCCCCGCGTCCACAACGCCGCCGCCGCCCCTGCCGTCGTCGAAGAGCTCGTGCAAATCAGCGAAGCGCCGCAGTCGCTCCCGCAGCTGCTCAATCCCCTCCGCTTCCGCGATGTCGCCGTGGATGTCGACGAGGGTGCCGACGTTCGGAAAAAGTTTGAGGCGGTCCGACGCGTGCATCTCCCGCAGCCCCATCGTGTTCACAGCGAAGGTCAGCACGGTGCGGTCCGCCTCGAAGTCAAGCAGCGGGCACATCACCGCCGCCGTCTCGCCGCCAAGCTCGCGGCAGAAGTCGTAGAACTGCTCCAGGTAGTTGCGCATCAGTACCCCGCGGATGTACTCCACCGGGAGCTCGTCCAGGTCCCGCTCGAAGTCACCCTCGGCGCTAAAGAAGCGGCCGATAGGGCTGTCGATGAGAACCACCTGAAACATCTCCTGCACGTCGGCGGCGGCGGTGAGGGAGGCAAGCTCTGGAAACCATCCGAGCGGGTGGCACTTCGTCAGCAGCTCAAGAGTCCCTCGGCCGCTGCGTTTCGCGATGACAAGCTTCAGCACGTTCGATATCATGTGCTCGTAGACGATGAAGTCAAGGAACTGCGAGAGCGGCGGGGCCGCCCACTCCCGCAGCTCACGCAGCTGCCGCACAAGATGCTCCTGCGCCCGGTTCACAATCACGCGCGGGGTGAGTTGGCCGTCCTGCTGCAGGAAGTTGCCGTAGTCAGTCACCTGCAGTTGGGACTTCAAGTCGTTGAGAGAGTCACACTGCGCCAAACTGTTATACTCCTCCTGCCGCAGAAACCCATCCTTGTAGCCGTGCACCATCGCCTCCAGGCACCCGTCGTGCACGTTGAAGCCTAACATCCCACGAGTCATCGTTTTGTTCTTTGTGTATGTGTGCGCTGTGCCGTTCCCCGTTGGTTTACTCCCTCCTTCCACCTTTGGCTTCCTACCTGCTCAATCCTCTACCTCTCTTTATCTATAGCTCGCTTACTTACCTCCCTTCCTACTTCCTCTCTCTCTCTCTCTCTCTCCTTCTCTCTCTCTCTCTGTGCGCTGCACCACTCCCCGCACTTCGTACGTGCGTGCCTTCCCCACTCAACCGGGAACGAGAAGCAAAAAAAAAAAGAGATAGGCAAATAAAAGGCGGCGTGGGTGTGTCAACGAACACCAGTTGCTGCAGGCAGCCAGCAATGATGCAGCATCCTTCGACTCCGCTGAATGCGGGCGCGGGAAGCTGGGAGTAGCAACAGAACGAGGCACAAACAAACATACACATACAGCGGAAAAGGCATTGTGTGAATCGCTCAGCTCACGCCTACCCACACTTCCGTGCGTACATGTAAGTCCCCTCCCGCCCGCCCCAGTTCTCTCTCTCTCTTACCGCGTGTCTCTGTGTGGCCGGCACCAAGTGAAGATGAAGTCGCATCCACCCACACAGAGACACGCGGTAAGAAAGACGAATAAATACGTTAAATAAATAAATAAATGAACTACAACAGCAAAAAGCAATATGTGTTTGGCGCTGAATGCAAATAAATAAATACGATAGTGACACAAAAGCGATAATATTATTTGCTACAGAAAGGAAAATTTAAAAAGACAGATTGGCAAGAAAAGAATGTAAACAGGACAGAAACGCAGCATGCGTCACTAGCCACCATCCCACTCTCTACATATATCCCGGTTCCGCTTACTATTCGGTACTACGGCTGCCTTCTCCGCACACGTATGGAGGAAGAAGGCGAGAAAAAAAAAAATGAACAGCGGCAGAAGCAAAAAATTAAAATAAAAAAAGAGTAGAAGTAACTAATTTAAAAAGCCAGTGACACCAGGCACTTCGTCACATCACTCCATGCGGGCCTGCGTACAAATACACGCGCGCACATATATTGCGTCCGTATATATAGATACATATACAGATATTTGTGAATGATAATGCGTTGGATATGGCTTCATAATAAACGTCCCAGCGATGCAAGAGAGTCCTTGACCCCGCTCGTGCCCCCGCTGAGGCCTGTTTTGTTTGTGTGTGTGTGTGTGTGTGTGTGTGTTGTTGTTGTTGTGTTTTTTTTGCAACTGTACGGGTGTTGCCAGAAGTGTGCTCACCCTAGTCCTGCCTCTTTCGCACCTCTGCCGTTTCTTAGTTTGTGTACGTGCGTCCGCGTGCAGAAAAATCGTAGGTGGATGCAGCAGCACTGGGGCCTCTCGGCGCGGCGCAGTGGGGCGATGGGGGGCGCCGAGGTTCCTAGGTTAGTACTGCTGCTTGAGTGGCACCGCCGGCTTTGTTAGCTTTGTTGGGGCCGACACCTTCGCCAGGTTGTAGTTCAAGTCAATGAGGGCCTCGTCGTGCCTCCCGACACGCGTAAAGTCGGTAAGCTCCATGTCGGCGTTTGACTTGTGGCGAATGCGACAGGACGCGGCGACGCCGATGGCAACGAGCAGAAGCCCCACGAACCCCACCACCGTGCCAATGATTATCTTATGCGCCTCTGACAGGCCGCCGGAGCGGGGCGTTGGCACGGGAAGACGCACATGCGGAATTTTCCCTATGGCGGCTGCCGTCCGTGCCGTCTGCGCGTCCCTCTTCCTCGTAAATCCCACCAACACGAGACGGTACTCCGCCTCTTTGGAGATGGTGACGTCGCCGCGACGCCACCATGGGTGGTAAAACCTCGGCACCACCTCCATAGCGTTGAGTGGGATGTATGTGGCATTGGCGATGGCCTGCAACAGCTCCACGTCAGTCGGCAGATCCAGTC